ATCTATTAGGTCCATTTGATTTAAGACCTCTGTAAGTGCCATTATATGCCTATTTAGCTTCTGTCTAGATCTTTCCCTTGGTGAGAGTGGAGTGTTGAAGTCTCCCACTATTAAGGTGTTGGGTTCGATGTGTGATTTAAGCTTTAATAATGTTGCATTTACAAATGCAGGTGCTCTTGTATTTGGGGCATAGATATTCAGAATAGTGATGTCCTCCTGGTGTATTTTTCCTTTGATGAGAATGAAGTGCCCCTTTTCATCTTTTTTGATTACTTTTGGTTGAAAGTCTATTTTATTAGATATTAGGATAGCTATCCCAGCTTGTTTTCTGGGTCTTGTTTGCGTGAAAAACATTTTTTCCAGCCCTTTACTCTGAGGTAGTGTTTATCTTTGTTGCAGAAGTGTGTTTTCTGGATGCAGCAGAATTTTGGATCCTGTTTCCACAACCATTCTGTTAGTTTGTGTCTTTTTATTGGAGAGATGAGTCCATTGGTGTTGATAGATAATAGTGACAAATGGATGTTTGTTCCTTTTATTGTGGAGTTGGTGGTGGTTCATTGCTTGTTTTCTTTTAATTTTTGATTGTGAAATTATGTATATTCTGTGTTTTCTTGGGTGCAGTTAATTTTTTTGGATTGGAGTTTTCCTACTAGTATCTTCTATAGAGTTGGGTTGCTGTGTAGATATTGTTTAAGCTTAGTTTTATCATGGAATATTTTGTTTTCTCCATCTTTGTTAATTGAAAGCTTTGCTGGTTATAGTAGTCTGGGTTGGCATCTATGATCTCTTAGAGTCTACATGACATCTTCCCAGGCCCTTCTATTTCTGACATAAACTCAATGGCTGGTTCTTTGACCTCCCTCCCTCCCTCCACCCCGAGGGAGGAGCAGCCCTGGTAGGCCACAGAGGAGGACTTTGCAGCCAGTCCTGAAGATACCTGATAAAGGAGGGTCAGATGAAAGGAGAAGAGGTCCTCCCCTATCAGTGGACTTGGAAGGGGGCAGGGAGGAGGTGAGGGAGGGAGGGTGGGACTGGGAGGGAATAAGGGAGCAGGATACAGCTGGGATACAAAGTTAATAAACTGTAAAAAAAAAAAAAAAAAGTCTCCCCTTAACCCCATGATTGGCACTTTGAAGCTAATGAAGCTGCCATTGGGTTTATATATGAGGAAAAGCATGTGTGCCAAACCCCTTCTTTTTCTCTTCTCTCTTTACGGTGTGGTTTAAATCACTTTCTCACATTTCACAACTAAGAGAATAAATGTGCTCAGTCTAGTGGGAAGGTATCAAAGTTCTTGTAAAAGCACTGCTTATTCTTTTCCATATGAGAAAGTCACAAAGTAAAAAAATTCAAATTTTGCTTGTGACTCTAGGTGGTATTTCTCTTACTATTAAAGTAAATTTATTGTTGAAACTTTTGATCATAATACTGATGGAATAATATTTTAAATATTTTTCCAGCAGTATAGTTTTTTATGCCATTATAGTTTCTTCCTTTGTGTATTTAATATTTTGAAAATTGGTCACACTGCAGATGTTAAATTAGTAATTTTCTGAAGGTAAAAAATTGAATGTTTCTCTAAAGTAAAGTTCATTAAGGTAAAACAATCAGATTATGTTTTCTTTAAGGGCATATTTTTGCTAAGAATCATAAAGTAGTATACTTGGAATAAAGTAAGAGTTGAGTTGATTAAGATTTGTACTAAAATAATGAAGCCACATCCCCAATATACTGTGTTAAAAGTATGCAAATGTTAATTGCAGTTTTGACTCAGTCTTAGCAACATTCCACATATAATCTACTCCTCTAAGCATAATTACATTTATCTGATTTGACTTAGGTGATGACGTTCAGACTATTCTCCAAGTACAGGAAATTCCCTAAAAGGATTATCCAAAGGTCACATTTTCCTTTTCCAACTTTATATGTTTTTAATTAACATGAACATAATTAGGTCTCAATATAGCATTTTCCAGCATAACTTACTTCTTCTGACAGTCTCCTCTACCTTCCACTCCTCTCTTATACCAAAAATAAATGCCATTTTCTGAGCCTCATTCTTGTAATGATATTTCTTATTTATCAGAAGTCTCATAAATATTATTTGAATTTTTGCAGGTATGGCAAGAGTTGTATAATGGCCACCACTAGAGAAGATAAAGGAGGTGTATTTTCAAAATGTGTAAAATTAATCACTTCTGAAATAAGTTATCATAAACAACAAATGGCTTCAATTCTCTTTGTTCAGCGAATAAATTCTACCTTAAATACCTTTGTTGCACACATAAAATAAAAGGTGCGAAAGCGTGAATGTTTCTAATTATTCTTCATTTATTAACCTGTCTTCCTTTCCGCTCTTGGTTAGTTATTCCTGAGGGGGCTGTGCTGCCACAGGGAAGAGAAAGGGAGCACTAAACAAGCCTAGATTGTCCTGTCCTTCCCCATCCCACTCCTGTATCCCTAGAACAGCCAGCCCTTTGCCACTCTTGGTGAGCTCTGTTTCTCCATACTGCTGGGCTCGTGGGCAGGCAAAGGAATACTGCGGTGAGAAAAGCAGGCTCCTCAAGGAGATGACCTGCGTGTGACTGGTGATGCAGACAGGACCCACTCCTGGCTACTGCAGATGCCAGGAAGTGAAAGAACTGCTGGGCAGGCAGAGTCCAAGAGGCAAGACCACCAGAGACAGAGACAAATACTTCTCCCACATCTGCCTGCCTCGTCCCTTCCCTGTCCAGAAAGTCAATGTCCACAAGGCACAGCAGGCAAGGGGATGGCTGGCCTGAGGCCCCTGCGCATGCCCTGAGCCTCTGGCAGGCTCTTGAGATGGTCTCGGGTGATGGAGAAATCAGTACGAAATGAGACGCTGGAGCAGAGTGGAAGTTGACATGTGTAACTGGCATGCACGGAGGAAAGGGCAGACATTCTGCAAATGAAATAGGAAATATAATTAATCCCCACCCAAGGTCCAACTAAAACCTAGCTGAGTAGTAGTTACTCAGTGTCACTTGGAAAGAGAAGTTCAATTGCCTGAATAAATAAATATGATTGGATAATTTTACCTGGATTAAGGGCATTTTTAATTGAAGAATTTAAGGTTTGGACCGATTGCTGTTTTTGTATAGCCAAGTAAAGGAAATTGAATTAGGAAAAAAATACAAAGTCGTTGCTTGGATTTGAATAGTGGGCAATATAAAATTAATTACTTTTAGTCTGTGCTGCTCCAAGATTGCTCCTATTCCCCGGAGAAAAGCTAAGGTCCTTTCAGAGTTAAGAAGGTTGTTTTCTTGCATGGTTGCATGGATTAGCAGGTTTTTTTTCCTGCTTTCTCAGCAAATCACAAGCTGCAGACTTCTATTATTAGAGCCACACGCCAATGTTTTGTTTAGTTTTGAAACAGTACAAATCCCTATATTGAATTTAGATTTGAGCTAGCACAAGAACAATGACAAAATAGAAATATCTATGAAATAGTCTTTTGTGGAAATGAGGGGTTATGTGTGTGATATGTGCTCAGGATGTAGATGATAAAGGACTGTAACATACATGCTAAGACCTGCCGGTTGATTTTTTTTATTCGATGCTGTAGTTAATAGTCATGCATGCATATAATGTTGGGGCCAAACCCAAGAACCATTCTTTCCCTATTCCTGCCTCCTCCAAATGAAAAACAAAAACAAAAAAAAAAAAGCATTTCTTTCACAACTTCGTGTGCACTAGTTATCGGTTTCAAAAAGTCAAAGTGCTGGACCAGTGAAGAGCTAGAGCATTTCCTACAGGTGGGAAGTTATTGCGGCCGTGTGGATTCCTAATCCTTAGGGCAAAGGGGTATCTGTGTGTGAGTCTACCTGCAGCGACTGTGAGCATGTCTGTGAGTATAGTCTACCATTTCCGTATGCCCAGCGCAATAAATAACAGACAATTTTCTAGACAGAAAATAAGAACAAATAGAGAAAGCTCATCCAATACAAAAGTTATGCAAATGGATTCCTTCAACACTCACCCCAACCTAATATCTTCACTCCTTAGACAAGCAGGGGAAGAAATAAATGATCACCCCCCTAGATAAAGGGTTATGTCCATTTGCTGCAAAATAACTGTGCCCCTTAGGTGCAATGAGAAGGCATGCATAGAGTAGGGTGTCCGCGTGTGAACCCGCACAGTTTGTGAGTGTGTGAGTTTTAGTGCGTCTATGTTTCAGTAGACATGTATGCCCCAATTGCCAGTGTCACTGTTTTTCATCATTTCCAAAACTACGACCTCCCTTTCATAGATGGTGAGATCCTGACCCTGACTGGCCACTGCAAGGGCTGGCATGTGTCCTCTTCACTGTCTCTTCTATTTGAGCTGATGCCTAACAGCTCATCTTAGTTCTTAGCTCCCAGGACTGCCTGACGAATACCTGGTAGGCTAGAAGTGCATGGAGGGGTTCCACTCTGAATCTACCCTAGCCTTTTGTACTAACCCAGGTATCAGTGCCGACTCTAAAGTCCGGAGGATGGAAGTCGGCTTGTGAAAGAAGTGTGTCGCTTCCCAGCCTCTGAATAGTATTTTCTGAGCCCTGCTTGGATTCATGTGGCCCTCGATTTTGACATCACTGTTACTGTCTCCAGGGACTCAATGCTTGGCCCTTGTATCCAGTTAGTGACCACAGAACTACAACCAGGGACAAGAACGTATGCCATTTTAAGACTCTAGACCCTTTTCATCCAGTGTCCAAGTCGCTACACAGATGTCTGTACTTACATTATTTAAGTGAATAAAACGATTCACTCTGAAACTTGTCTTAGGCCACGTTTCAAGTATCCAGTAATGATGTATTTACAAGGCAGAGAACATTTTCATCTTCTTGTGGGAAGCTGCTGCCGACTGATCTGAGGTCTGTTCACTGGGTTTGCATGTTCACTGTATGTGTGTGCATCAAAGTCGGGATTCAGGCGCATACCTTAGAAGCAAGGTGACGGGCGGATGGATGTGACTCCTTGAGCTCTGTCGTTTGAAAGGATCAGCTTGTGATTGAAAGCACCAGGTTTCACAGAGTGCAGGAGGGCTCTGAGAAGCCAGAGAGAGGAGCAGGAAGATGCAGCAGGAGTAAGCATGACTTTAAGGGACCCACGGAGAAAGGAGGTGCTGCCATCTGCTCACTCATCACGTGTGGTCCTGAAGACTGCCTCGTGGAGACCTTTGAAGAATCCAAGGTAAGAAGGAAGCCCTACCAGCTGGGCACTTAGCACCCAATAAGAGCCAGTCAGGGGGACTGTTGGGTTACACTTGATGCTCTGGAGTCAGGGGAGGTGGGGGAGTGGAAAAAAGAGAAGGAAAGGAGGAAAACGTGTTAAGAGATTTATTCTGTTTATCTGAGTTATTCTTTCACTGTGTTTGTCAGTGTTTTCTCTCGTTCTGGTATTCAAGGATGGAATGAAATGAAGCTCTTTTCCAGAAAGTGAGCCATTTCCGCCTTTGCCACAGCAACAGCGAAACCTTGGGGTTTGATTGCTCGCCACTTTTGGAGAACGCTGGCAAGCAATTGTTTCTGAGTTTGGTACTGGCAACCGTCATAGTCTGTTTGTGTTTCTCTCACAAACTGTCTGAGGCACAATAATGTATAAAGAACGGAAGCTTGTTTCTTATAGATGGTGAGGCTATTGAGCCCAGGTTTGAGTTACCAACCTTCGAACTGGTGAAGACTCTCTCCTGAGCTTTCACAAGGCAGAAAGTTACTGGGTAGGAGAGAATCTGTTCCCCATCAAAACCGTAAACAAAGCTGCTCTGGAATGTGCAGGTGGTGGTGAGATATTGCCGTGGCTCCTACATAACACTACCTGCCTTCTGTCCTTATTGTCCACTCCTGGGTTCAAGAAACTGCCAGGGCTAGATGGGGTCAAGCTCAGGCCTGAGAGTCCCGGATGAGATGCGCAGATGGAAACCTAAACCCCGAAGCCCTAGAAAGCATCTATGGGGTTTACAGGCTGGAGTTCTCGGGTGCAGGATTGACATGGCCTAGGAATTTGGCTGGATGTCTCTCCTGAAGCCCCAAGCCCACATTCAGAGAGTTGAGGAGATAAAGGTTAACAGGTCAGCTTTCAGCTCCCTAAGGACCAACAGGCTCCCAGAGAAATATCCCCAACCCAGGACCGGCAAACTGAGACTCAGCTGGGGACTGGAAACTTTTCAGGGAACGTGAAGGATGGAACGCCTGTCTTCCTCATTTCAAACCTACTATGAGGTCCCTCCAGAAAGACCAGGGCCTGAGAGGAGGGTCAGTGACTCGTAAGTACTCTGTGGTCTACTCTTTTCTCCCACAGTAAGGTGGGAGACACAGGAACAAACTCATGCCTTTGCTGCCCTCTGCTGCGCTTTCTAAGATCTGCTACCATGTAATTTGCTGTTGCCTCTGTGCCTTCCAGACACAGCACTGACCTTTTGGGACAGAGCTACTTCTTCAGTCTGACCCCCAGCACTCAGGGGTCTGTTCACTGTAGATATCTGGTAAAACTCTCTGGCCTTCTATGGGCAGAGAACAAATTCTCGAAAACTCTGCGTGTGCTGGGCATCGAGGGGCTTCTAGGCAGGCTTCTGGGCAGGTGGGGTGAGCTCAGGACTGAACGAGAGACTCAGACTCGCTGTTTGAGGAGTCAGAAGAGGAACAACGCTATCCCTGCAGAATGGAAATATCTGCGTGGAGGACGAGCTGGAATAGGCATTGAAGGATGTATTGGAAGAAGCCGACACAGAGAGGCTATTTCAGCTGGTAAGCGACTGGCAGAAGTCCGGAGAGTGAGAGCAGGCTACGGACACCAGGAGAAGGAAGTTGAGCTTAGTGGTGATGGTAACGGGGAATCACAGAAGGCTTTAGATCAGAGGTGACCTGAAATATGAAAGAATGAGGACCAGCTTTCCATGTGACAACACCTGAGTGAAAGAGCATCCTGATGTGATGAGAAGATGAGAAGATCCTCAGCTCCAACCTTAGCTCCACCCCCACCCCCAGACTCCTGTCGGGTCCCTTAGAGACACTGTTGGGCTTGTTAGTGTTTGTGCCAAGACTTCGACACTAAAGATTTTCATGATTAATATTTGAGAATTCTCTGTAGAGGAATATCGAATGGCAGAGAAGCACTTAAAGAAATGCTCAACCTCATTAGCCATTAGGGAAATGCAAATCAAAACAACCCTGAGATTTCACCTTACACCCATCAGAATGGCCAAGATGAAAAACTCAAGTGACAACACATGCTGGAGAGGTTGCACTGCTGGTGGGAATGTAAACTTGTACAGCCACTCTGGAAATCAATCTGGTGCTTTCTCAGACAACTAGGAATAGCGCTTCCTCAAGATCCAGCCATACCACTCCTAGGCATATATCCAAAAGAGGCTCAAGTACACAAAAAGGACATTTGCTCAAACATGTTTGTAGCAGCTTTATTTGTAATAGCCAGAAGCTGGAAACAGCCCAGATGCCCCTCAACTGAAGAATGGATGCAGAAATTGTGGTACATCTATACAATGGAGTATTACTCAGCAATGAAAAATAAGGAAATCATGAAATTTGCAGGTAAATGGTGGGACCTTGAGAGGATCATCCTGAGTGAGTTGTCCCAGAAGCAAAAAGACACACACGGTATATACTCACTCATATAAACATACAACATAGGATAAACCCACTAAAATCGGTACATCTAAACAAACTAAGCAAAAGAGAGGACCCTAACTAAAACGCTCAATCCCCATCCTGAAAGGCAAAGAGGATGGACATCAGAAGAAGAAGAAAACAGGAAACAACCTAGGAACCTGCCACAGAGGGCATCTGAAAGCCTCTGCCCTGCAGACTATCAAAACAGATGCTGAGCCTGATGGCCAATTGGCAGGCAGAGTGAATGGAATTTTATGTAAGAAGTGGGAAATAGCAAGAGCTGGAGAGGACAGGAACTCCACAAGGAGAACAACAGAACCAGAAAATTTGAACACAGGGAACTTCCCAAAGACTCATACTCCAACCAAGGACTATTCATGGAGATATCCTAGAATCCCTGTGCAGATATAATCCATGGCAGTTTAGTGTCTAAGTGGGTTACATAATAATGGGAAAAGGGACTGCCTCTGACATAAACTGATTGACCTGCTCTTTGATCACCTCCCCCTGAGGGGGGAGCAACCTTACCAGGCCACAGAAGAAGACAATGCAGCCATTCCTGATGTGATCTGATAGACTAAGATCAGAAGGAAGGAGAGAAGGACCTCCCCTATCAGTGGACATGGGGAGGAGCATGCATGCAGAACGGGGAGGTAGGGTGGGATCGGGAGGGGAGGAGGAGGTAGGGGCTTATGGGGGGATACAAAGTGAATAAAGTGTAATTAATAATAATAATAAAAAGAAAAAATATTTCAAATGATTTATTGGGACAAAAGTTCAAAGCTTTATTATATCTTTTAAAAAATAGACATAAACCTTTCTTATAGTCTACCGCCACCCCTCCCTTAAGCACTTCCCCCAGAGGTATCTTGCCTGACTTCCACATGTACTCCAAGCCTAACACAAAATTAATGATTCAAAGCTGGGAGCCACATATGAGTAGAAGAAGCATTTGCTTCATTTGGTATAAGCGTTTCTGAATGAAAAAAAAATTTTTTTTAAAGAAAAACATGACTGTTCCTAGGGGCATCTATGGTGGAGAAGATTTATTACAGCCAGAGGCAGGGATGTCTGCAAAGTCCAGAGTGGACATAGCCACATGTGTCTGGACTGAGCCAGGCCATTTGAGGAAAAGAGGGTAGGGAAGAGGGAGGGAGGAGAACCAGGAGCAGCAGCCAAGAGAGCAAGAGGCAAAAAAGGAAAGAAAGAAAGAAAGAAAGAAAGAAAGAAAGAAAGAAAGAAAGAAAGAAAGAAAGAAAGAGAGAGAGAGAGAGAGAGAAGGAAGGAAGGAAGGAAGGAAGGAAGGAAGGAAGGAAAGAAAGAAAGAAAGAAAGAAAGAAAGAAAGAAAGAAAGAAAGAA